TGTGTTGCATTAGGCATTTCTGTATATTTAGGATTCATGCATGATTTCTGATGAGTTTTTGTTTTGGCTTGGAGTACCCGGTGAGCTTTATGCTTTAGCATCCTTGCATGCGTGTGAGTGAATGCCATGATAGCATGCTTACCATGAGGCTATTGCTTATGTGATATATCTGCGAATGCCTGTGGGTGAAGGTTGGGTTACTTGGATTGGAATAAATCATTGAGTGTGAATTTTAAGCCCACTAGATAGTGGCAAAACCATCTTTTTCTAAGCCCACCTGCGGGTGGCAAAATTTGCATTTTAAGCCTACTTGCGAGTAGCAAACCATCTTTCAAAAAAAGCAAACATGAAATGTTTTATTCCAATTCAGGCGACCCAGTCTATACTTGTATGCTCTAAGTATTTGTGAAGTGATTCTTACATACCTTTCTATAACCGTTGTTCCTGTATTTATACGTGTTCTTTTTGATCCTCGGGGCCAGGGCCTACTTTTTGATCATTGCCCTTTCTTTCATTCGGAGCTACTGATCTCCATCTATTCGGCTTTACTCACGTATTCGGCGTCCTGGTCACGCAATATGAAGCCGGATAGTATCTAATTTCTGGAGCACGCATCCTTCGACTCTTCTATTTATTCGGCTCCCACATTTAACAAACGCTGTTTATATATAGGAGACTTTGTAATTGACATGACCGCTAAGTTATTTAACAAATGTTGTTTATAAATGCCTTTGGATTTTCAAATCCACCAAGTAGAAGATGAGAGAAAACAAATATGAATTTCATAGAGAAAATATGGAATTCCATATATCCAAATGCAAACCCTTTCCGCCTTTGTATAGGCATGGGTTGTGTCCCTTAGATTTAAAGTTTACAACCTTTGGTTTAAATTCGATGGCCACACCTCTTATTTTAAACCCAAAAGTCACATCTCTCTATAAATTTATACAACCAAAAATATGTATTAAATACATGCAAATATACTATGAAAATGTTCCAACAATCCCCCACCATTTTCAAAATATATGATTATACAACTTGGCTGGATTAGAAAAATTTATGCATGAATGAAGTTATCTTACTATTTGAACCATTCACTTAGTGAAGACACGTGAAAGTTAGTTAAGTTGGCATAATAGACTTGTCTTTGAACTAGCGATTCTATTCGACTAACTGGACACGTCCACACATAAATTTTCTTCTTCTTGCGTAAATTCAAAAAGCTAACACGTGAATTGGCTTTGTGTTTATATCCTATTTCATGTGTGCTCTAGAGCCAACCCCTCATAGGAAGTGACACTACCTCCTACACTCATATAGGTAAGCTTACTAAAATCACCCTTGTAACTATAGTACCCTAACAAACACCGTTGTAAGCCTATTAAGAGCTAAGTAGCTCAACCTCCTTTTTACATTACAGGTCTCAACCACTTTTACCTTAGGATGGTTATGCAAGTAAAATTTAAGTGCTTGCAATCATGGCATATGGTGTACTTGGGCTCATTAAACTCAAGGACTTGATATTTCAAGCATTGAGTTGAGTTTCCACTATGTGTGTGTAATTATGCTATGTGGGCTTAAGACCCATCTCCCTTGATGTTTTTCACATAAAATGACTTGCAGGTATTTCTTAGATAAATTCATAGTCACGTGAACAATATTCTTACATGGCTATGTGTTACCATAGTTAATGATGTGATTCACATGTCCAGACAAACAATCACTGTCACAACTCTCAACTCATATTTATGATAAGTTTGTATTTTGAAAAATTCAAGGAAAAAGCCTGTGCCAGAAGAACATGTTAGTTCATCTCTTTTGTTACAAGAGACTAACAAATTGTAAAAATCATTTCTTCAATTCAAAGAGATACTAAGAATGAGTAATTATTTACTCTTAAGTCCTAATTTTCATGCCAAGTGTTCAACAAGAGCGTCTATGTATTCTTTCAAATAAATGGATAACCACTATAGCATATAAACTAATGCTTCTCAACAAATTTGAGAAATTAAGTTGTGGGGTATAAACAATCAAATCGAACACTCAAGATGGTACGAACTAATATTTCTCGTATCTTAAGTTTCATGATTTGTACTTGCATTGTCTTAAGTCATAAATGACTAACCAAATTTCAATTTTCATTCATTTCTAATGCATGCTTGCACAAAATAAAAACTCTAATTTAATTAAAATTTAGAAAATACATCAATCAATTATAATAAATATTGGTTTAATGATATTAACATATATGAATACTATGAACAAGGTCAAATTATTAACATTGAGACACAAACAAAATTTCATAATTGAAAAGGTCCACCAGTTATATCAACAAACAACCCCATGTTCATGGGTGACTGCCATTTGGGCCCAATATATATGCTAGGACTGAGTCAAACCAATGAACAAGTTGATAGTTCGGCCTTTTACAAAACATGGAATTTAAGTTAATGTAAAGGAAAAATTGGTGAGAAGTCTATTTCTAGGGGTGTGTATGGCTTTAGGTCCAAGGATTGTTTTGTTTTGTTTTGGTTGTAAGGACATGATTAATGAAATTGTTTGGTGAGAAGGACAAATTATTGTTTTGAAGGATAATTTTTCCATTTTTACTCTTTGCCGTCTGATTGTTGGTCACCAGAAAGTTGCCAGTGGTGGTTGCTGATGGTGGTGATATGGACAAATAAGTAGATTAGGTGGATAGATAGGTGACACGTGGACAAATAGGTAGACGACACGTGGACAAATAGGTGGATGACACTTGGACAGATAGGTGGATAGATAGGCGACACGTAGACATATAGTGTGTTTTGGCTTTATTCTTCGCTCCAATGAGACTTGCGAAATCGAGACCAACTATTTTTGTATCTTCAAGTAAATATTAATTCGCTTCCCTCTTTTGGAATGTCGTCTCTCAAGATTGTTGGTGCAAAAATGATAAAAATGATGAAAAGATAAAGATGGAGAAAGTTAACGATTGCTTCAAGTTGCGTTACTCTATCGCTTTCCTTAAGACGATATTCTTCCTCACCTATTTTGTTGAATCTGGTGTGTATTGGGTTACCTGCGAATCCACCTCTAGGATACAATGAAGTCTAGTGTTAATGACTGTTATCTGATTGTGTTGTGCACGAATGAAATCAGATCCCAAATACCTTTAGATTTTCAAATCCACCAAGTAGAAGATGAGAGAAAACAAATATGAATTCTATAGAGACAACATGGAATATTGACATCTATTAAGAATATTTAACAGTACTCATTCTATTTGCCCCCCCTCCCCCCTCCCCTCTTTTTTAATCAAAAGAAAAATTCGAGAATAAAGACAAGTATTAAATTTGTTAGAGAATCCTTGAAACAGATAGGATAAGCGGAGAATCTTTGACACCTAGAATTTTATATTTCTTAAATGTTGTTTCTTGTAATGGTGAACCTTTTCCCCAACTAAGCTTTTAAACCTTTTTTTTATTTTTATTTTTATTTTATGACCTTCCAATAGTTATAGATGTAAACATGTTTAATCATTTAATTATTGAGAGTGTATGAACATTTATATCGGTTTTAGATTTGTTTCTAACATTTTCGAACATTTTTGATTACTTTTTTCTCATTTTATGTTTCCAAAACACTTTCGAAACATTTCCATTTCTGGGCTAATCGAAACAACATGTCTTTTTTAATGCTAACATTATGTGTTTATTGATTCTGGTGAACCTCTGTTTGGTTGCTGAAAATTTAGGAATGGAGGAAAAAAAGAAACCAAGATCAAATATTTCGATGTTATTTGTTACTCATTTCGAGGAAAATAGAAAGTTATTTGTATTAAGCTCAATCTAAGAAGCATAGACACTTCTAAGAAGATAACGTATCCGTGTTGTGTCCGTGTCGGACACCGGCACTCTTTGGACACTTTCCTGACACGTGTCTGATACTCTTCAAAACGTGTCCTATTTTGTAAAGACCCGGACACTATGTGGACACTTGGAGGACACACATGCTTATCAATTAGATACATGTGAAACTAATTATAAGTTTGAACAAAATAACTTAAGATACAATAATAAAACAAAAACCATACAAATTTATAGGAATTAATGTCATATTGCATTTTTTATTATCTTTAAATGATATATTCATATATATAACATATAATAAATATATAAAATTATATATTTCATGCGTGTTGTCCATGTGTCATGTCCTGCCTTTGCATTTTTTGAAAATCAGCGTGTTGGCGTGTCTATGTTGTATTCGTGTCGTGTCGTGTGTTCGTGTCCATGCTTCTTAGAGCTCAACCATCTACTCTTTGCATCCTGCTTTCTGTCATCCTAAATAATGAAAACAATTTCTAAGATTTTTTGTGTAAGTTTTTTGGGTTAAATGCTTGAGGCAATGGTTGTTTCACATTGCTTTATGTCTCGCTGTTTTTTGGGGAAACTTTTTCCTTGTGAAGGCCCCCTTTTTTTCTGATAGACATTTTAATGTGAACTTGAAAATTTTGTTATGTTTCTTAATTATTGCTCCAAACCTTATTGCGACAAAAATTGTCTCTTGCTCCACAAACTTTATTGCTCCTTTAGTCTTCTTCGAGAAAGTAATTTCATTATTTTTTGGCCAAAACAATATGCGTTGTGTGATGGATGTTGATACACATTCAAAATTTGGTCTTCTTGGTAGATTCAGGTTTGGGTTTTCTTGTTTAACCTTGATATGTAGAACCTTACAAGAAGGCATGGTGGATTAGGCAGAATGTTCTCTTACTTAAGGATCCAGGTTTTGATGTCATGAAAATTGATATTGAATTGCTGTATTAATGAATGTTATGTTCATTAATGCAACAAGGTCATGCTGTTGTGTTTTGAAGTCTCTTAAGACTGGTCCTATACCATTACTCCAAAGAAAGCACAGTGAGGTTAAAGTAGTGACACGAACTGTCTACTTCAACTGCGAACTCCTAGTTTTAGGGAACTTGTGATATTTATTATTCGTAATTCTTTCTGTAGGGAGCTAGGGGCTTAATGGTGGGCTCCTCAGGTGGACATGATCTTTTTGAATTTGACCGAGGTTCTGATGAAGAAACATTTGAGAACTTTGGTGATCATGAAGCCAGAGAGGATGAGCTGTTACACAGTTGTGATTCACATGGTTCTCTAAATGAAAGGTTAATTTTTGTGGAGCCATCGTCTAATGGCTTAAATGGGGATAATTTGGAACCATTTACTGGGATGAATTTTCTATCTTTAGATGATGCAAGGGATTTCTATTATGAATATGCCAAGCGTACAGGTTTCACCATACGGACAAATCGAATTCGACACTCACTAAAGAACATGGCTATAATAGGTCGGGACTTTGTTTGTTCAAGAGAAGGTTTTCGTGCTGCAAAACATGCGCTTAGAAAAGACAGGGTTCTTCCACCAAGGCCAATTACAAGAGAAGGGTGTAAAGCAATGATAAGGCTGGCAGCAAGAGATGGAGGTAAATGGGTAGTTACAAAATTTGTCCGAGAGCACAACCACAAGTTAATGACTAACTGTAAATTTCCTGGCGAACTACCAATCGTAAATATACTCAGTGAGGTATGTATGAAATTCAACATTGTAGTGCTTATGACTTGAATAGCATCATGGCATTGTTCATTTTTTAATAAAAAATTGAGCTAGATTTTGCAGAGTTATTGTGCACCTATTATTATCACTTATTAATTGTTTTATGGATTCTGAGCCATCCATTTCCTGTTTGAGGAACTAGCTAGATATGTACAAGCGATAAACTTATCATCTCCTTGATTCCTTAAAATGAAAAGCAATTTTGTAATGGTTGTTTGATTATACTTGTCAATATTGAGAACAATCTCATTTAGTTAAAATTCTTCATGATGTAACTAAAGGACTCACAATTAAGGTTCAAATATGCTTCTTCTACTTATGATCCCATGCTAAGCTTGCACTAGAGTTGCATTGCCACTTTTGACTGCTTCTGCTATGGTAATGGTTAAGGGTGGCAATTTTTCTTCTGGCTTGTAAGGATGGTTGGCACTGCAAACTACGAAGAGCACTAGAAATACTGAACAAAATTGTTTCATGAGGCCCTTAATGGCTGTCCAATTTGCTGGCTATTGCGTAGTTATTTCAGCTGTCTTACCCATAATATAATGAAAAAGATGGAAACAAGTACACCAAGATTTCTAATGTTATCGGCAATTATGAAATTGCATGCGTTTGGACTTTAGTGCCCCTCAACTTATTGGAGTACACAACCATTAAACTAGAGCTAGCTTTAGTTTCTCACAATTGTATTGATTTTGAACTCGATCATTTCTAGTGATGCCACTTGAGCATTTTAGTTTTTGTTGTCATTAGTTTCCCCAAATTTAATTTGTGAATGTTTGTTGAAAACTAGGTAATTTTATTGATTTGTTGCGTGCTCAAAGTATGGAGTGGAAGTCCTTGGCAAGGGTTTTGTAATTATAAGGGAGTGGCGAAGAACGTAAAGTGCAACCTATGAAGCACGGATACCTCTCCAGAGATGACGTATAGGTGTTGGACATGGATACGTGGCACAAACACGTTCCTGACATGTGTTGGACATGCTAGAGAGAGAGTTGGACACATTGGGACACGTTGCAGACACATTGGGACATGCTGGAGACACACTGGGGACAAGCTAAGGAGTAAAATAGAGTAAAATAGAGTGAGTTGGTGTGTATCCATAATTAACTCACTCATTAGTCACACATTTGGCTGTAAAATAGAGTGAGTTAATTATTGTGACCATAGATGTCTGTAATGTTATCAATTACCAGACATTTTACATGGCAATCTTATGTATGAGTAGGAAAAATCTAATTTTTAAATAGTTAATTCAATTTCTTTTCCTAATTCACCTCTACTAGTTTATGTTGAGCCTTTAAATAGTTTCACTCAAGTTGAACACAATATACTTTTGACATAAGTGTAAAACTGGGATGCCTGACTTGATATTCGTCCCAAATTTAAGTCAAGTGATTTTGTAGTTTAACTTGGTGACTTGTTCACTTTACTTACATGCTTAACTAAGCAACTTGGTGCGTATCCTCAAATTGAATTCAATTTAAGTTTTGGAGTATATGCATTCATCAACACGGTACTCAATTCAAATATATACACATGTAGAGCATGAAGTACATAATTTATCTCATTCATGTATATATACATGAAAATTGAAACAACATGAAATAAAGGGATGAACACTATTTTTGTACTGGTTTGGTTACTTGCCCACATATGCCATCAACATCCCACACCAGATTTATGATACACTAAACATAAGGGGAGTTTTCACTAAAGTAGTGTATGAATAGCCAAGCCTTCTCCTGTAAAGGAACAACACTTAAAGTAGTGTATGAAAGTTTACCAGAGGTATATAAAGTGTGCCTGCTCTCGTAAAAAACCCTAAATGGGGTGCTGGGGGTACATATAGCCAAGCCTCCAACAACAATGTTAATATTCTTAAGAAATTTCAACAGGGTGGTTGACCACTATGCTGCAATGGTCGACCAAGTTGCAATATGGTCTTTTCCAGGTACTCTCTGGATTTCTGGATGGTTGACCACTTCACTGAGATAGTCAACCATGCTGTAAGTTTGGCAAATTTCAGTCTCTGGAACTTTGCTGTGGTCAACCAGGCTCAAGCCATGGTTGACGAAGCCAATACAACCTGGACTTTTTCAAGTCCTCTTTATGCCTTCCTGGTCCTTCCATCTCCTGTGCTTTCTTCATGCCTATGAAGATCTTCCATAGCACTCACCCCCTTGTGTTGATGAAGATCTTTAGACTTCAATTCAAGCTTTGTTCATTGCTTTATTCATACCGGTGAGGTTCTTCCATAGCTCTTTCACATGTCGATGAATATCTCTCATGTCACTTCAAGCTTCCAAACAAACATGGGTGCCTTCAATTTGCTCTTTTCATGATGTGGCTTGGCTTCTACCTAAGGTTTGTATATAGAAATCACAAAATTGCTGACCTTTGCTAGCCTAGCACTAATATAATACAACAAATGTGTATATAGGTCAGGCCACATTAGACTTCATCCTACATAACATGCACACGTGCGCGCGCGCGCGTACACACACACAGTGCATGCTTGGATAGGGGGAAATAAGAATAGATGCAGTGGTAGCACCATGAATGTACTCTTCCCCCATTTTATAATTTTCCTTTTAGGTTTTAATATACGCATACATATATGTATATGTATAAATAGGATTTGCATGTGTTTGCATGAATGTCTATGCTTTGGTTTGTGCTCATAAGTCATAACTTTCTCTCAATTATATATTTAGGGTTGGTTTGGGGTGTCCTAAAAAAGTACACTTTTTGTCTTTTTACGAAAAGATGTGCAGAAAAGTAGAGAGGTGATGTGATGGAAAAAAAGATAAAAAGATAAAAAGATGGATTATATAGGTTATGCCAAACGAGGCCTTAATATATCATGTATGGATGCAGCCATATGTGCAAACCTAATTGTAGTAGCTCCTTGTTGCTTAAAACCTTCATTTATCCAATTTTTATTATCAGTATGTTATTTCTATTTGTTTTTCTTGTAGTAGTTTGCATATAATCCCATCTAACAGTATTTTCTTGTTCTTGAAAAGATAAAGAGGTAGTCATGTTTGCAAGTGATTTATCATTTACAACGTGGTATAAATTGTTCAAGAAATGTTGGCTGATTGTCCATATCATGAAACATTTTCAAATTTCAAACTTTTTGAAAAGGTATCGGACATGTTTGTAAGAGTAAGTACTGTCAATGCTGGATGTAGGCATTGCATGTTAGTAGAATTGTCCATGCTGGGTATAAAATATGCATGAAGTCCACTGATTTTGTATTCGTAATAGCAGGAAGAATCTTAATCATGACAGATATGTATTAGACGCTGTTCAGTTGGGGAAGATGGACTGTAGACTTTTTGATCTAGTGGGATGTGTCTGTGGTAGTTATTGCAGGGCATGATGAGCTTTGCAAACAAGCTACCGTACAGTGCATTATAAAGCTAGCTTGTTTGGGTATCCATATTCCAGCGAGATAGGTTATATTGTTGATGTAGCTTGTTTGGTATTAAGGCACTATCTGTGGTGAGATCAGAAGTACTTTTTTAGTTGTGTATAGAGTTTTCAATTCCATTTTATACTATAGAGTTTTCAGATTCATTTTATTATTATTATTTTTTTGTTTTTTCTCTGATTTTTAATTTCTTGTTTTTGTTGTCTAGAAAGTTTCAAAAGGTATGACACTTTCACTTTATCTAATAAAAAATGAGGGGTGATAAATAAGGATATGGAATTCAAGAAAATGTATTGTTTAAGACTGACCTTTGCTTTTTTTTTGTTTTTGTTTTTGTTTTTTTATATATTTTAATTTTGATCAGTAGCAAACAAATTTTATTAAGAAGGGGACAAAAGTACAAGTAGTATGAGGACAAGAAGTCCACTGAAGGAACATACAAAAAAAAAAAACAAAGGATACCCCTCAAGGGGAGATGAAACCGATACCGAAAAAGTCAAATGACGAACCCTATCACGTAAGGCATCAACATATTCAAATTTGTCCAAAAAAATCTTATCATTTCTGACCCCAAGGGGTTGGCCTAGTGGATGTAGCTTGGGGTTTGGGAGTGTGTTCCGTCTAGGTTTTAGGTTCAATTCCCACTCGGTGCTATCAACTCTTTGTGGCCACGTTTGTAGGCTTTACTCAAGATTTGCTTGATCCACGTGGCATGGACGCTATTGTGGGTCCTGGGATTAGTTGAGGTGTGCGTAAGGTAGTCCGGACACCCAGCCGCAAGGTTTTGAAAAGCGGTTGCGGTCACCGTAACAGTGGCGGTGGCGAGGTTGCGGTTGCGGTTGTGGTTGCGGGGTGTAAAGGCCATAGCGTAACAGTTGCGGTAACTGGAACCGTGGATTTTTTTATTTTTCACAAAACTTACCGATACACATTTTTTTCCATAATCATATTTATTGGGTTTTAAAATAAATATTGATAAATTTTTGTAAATTTTTAAGTATGATCCAATATATTTCATATTTTTAAATCACTATAAACTGAGTTTTTTATATTTTATTTTAATAATTAATGACTTCATATATCATAAATCCATATTATGCTTGTAACAATTTTTTTTATTATTATTGGACTTAGATGTATAAAATTATTTTTTTAATTATTATACTTGTGGAAGTATATCTAAATTTTAACTTGAATAGTTTTAAAAAATAAATTATACATGCTAATGTAATCATATAAAAATTTAAAAATAAATTATAAAGAATTATTTTATTTTATTTATTTATTTTTTTTAGGTTTGGATCACTTGAATCTTCATTCACTTTTTGGATAACCTGTAAATAAAAATAAAATAAACTAATCAAAAGAAATTGACATGTGGTGTCAAGCGGAGATGCATCCTCCGGACGGGCAGGTGTTTCGACCATACTCCTCCGGACGCATTGGTAGAGACGTTCGTCCTTTACCAACTCCTCGAGATGATCTGTCCTCAGGGGTCGCTCAGAAGCCTTGGACACCGTTTGTTTGGATTTTGCTATTTTCGAGGCTAGATCACGACGAAGGCGTTCGTTCTCAGCGATGACGTTGGCCAACCTTTGTTGGGTTTGCCTAGCTTGTGCCATGGTCGCTTGTATTGTCGTTTGTGTTGGGTTTGAAGATGAGCAGAGGTCCGAGGCAAGTCTTGCCGCGATGGTTTTTGGTCCAAGCGAGTTTGCAGGAATGGGGTCAACTCTCTGTGCGGTCGCGTCAGTGGCTAGCGGAGGATCTTCAGTCACGCCTGCCATGGATGTGTTTGAGTATTCCCACAGACGGCGCCAGTTGTGGGGAATACTATGTTCAATATATTCATCCTTTTTTATTATTTAATGTGGGGAATAGGTTTGGAAATACTCTTCGGATCCTGGGAGACGCTAGTGATCCTTAGCTAGTCACCTGAAAAGATACAAGCACTCCGGTCGGGGGTGCCGGAATTAGCACTCCGACGGACAAGTTAGTTCAGACACTCAGGGTAGCTTACTCTCTAAGTATTTGTGAAGTGATTCTTACATACCTTTCTATAACCGTTGTTTCTGTATTTATACCTGTTCTTTTTGATCCTCGGGGCCAGGGCCTACTTTTTGATCATTGCCCTTTCTTTCATTCGGAGCTACTGATCTCCATCTATTCGGCTTTACTCACGTATTCGGCGTCCTGGTCACGCAATATGAAGCCGGATAGTATCTAATTTCTGGAGCACGCATCCTTCGACTCTTCTATTTATTCGGCTCCCACATTTAACAAACGCTGTTTATATATAGGAGACTTTGTAATTGACATGACTGCCAAGTTATTTAACAAACGTTGTTTATAAATGCCTTTGGATTTTCAAATCCACCAAGTAGAAGATGAGAGAAAACAAATATGAATTTCATAGAGAAAATATGGAATTCCATATATCCAAATGCAAACCCTTTCCGCCTTTGTATAGGCATGGGTTGTGTCCCTTAGATTTAAAGTTTACAACCTTTGGTTTAAATTCGATGGCCACACCTCTTATTTTAAACCCAAAAGTCACATCTCTCTATAAATTTATACAACCAAAAATATGTATTAAATACATGCAAATATACTATGAAAATGTTCCAACAATCCCCCACCATTTTCAAAATATATGATTATACAACTTGGCTGGATTAGAAAAATTTATGCATGAATGAAGTTATCTTACTATTTGAACCATTCACTTAGTGAAGACACGTGAAAGTTAGTTAAGTTGGCATAATAGACTTGTCTTTGAACTAGCGATTCTATTCAACTAACTGGACACGTCCACACATAAATTTTCTTCTTCTTGCGTAAATTCAAAAAGCTAACACGTGAATTGGCTTTGTGTTTATATCCTATTTCATGTGCGCTCTAGAGCCAACCCCTTAGACTCATAGGAAGTGACACTACCTCCTACACTCATATAGGTAAGCTTACTAAAATCACCCTTGTAACTATAGTACCCTAACAAACACCGTTGTAAGCCTATTAAGAGCTAAGTAGCTCAACCTCCTTTTTACATTACAGGTCTCAACCACTTTTACCTTAGGATGGTTATGCAAGTAAAATTTAAGTGCTTGCAATCATGGCATATGGTGTACTTGGGCTCATTAAACTCAAGGACTTGATATTTCAAGCATTGAGTTGAGTTTCCACTATGTGTGTGTAATTATGCTATGTGGGCTTAAGACCCATCTCCCTTGATGTTTTTCACATAAAATGACTTGCAGGTATTTCTTAGATAAATTCATAGTCACGTGAACAATATTCTTACATGGCTATGTGTTACCATAGTTAATGATGTGATTCACATGTCCAGACAAACAATCACTGTCACAACTCTCAACTCATATTTATGATAAGTTTGTATTTTGAAAAATTCAAGGAAAAAGCCTGTGCCAGAAGAACATGTTAGTTCATCTCTTTTGTTACAAGAGACTAACAAATTGTAAAAATCATTTCTTCAATTCAAAGAGATACTAAGAATGAGTAATTATTTACTCTTAGGTCCTAATTTTCATGCCAAGTGTTCAACAAGAACGTCTATGTATTCTTTCAAATAAATGGATAACCACTATAGCATATAAACTAATGCTTCTTCAATTTCAATTTTCATTCATTTCTAATGCATGCTTGCACAAAATAAAAACTCTAATTTAATTAAAATTTAGAAAATACATCAATCAATTATAATAAATATTGGTTTAATGATATTAACATATATGAATACTATGAACAAGGTCAAATTATTAACATTGAGACACAAACAAAATTTCATAATTGAAAAGGTCCACCAGTTATATCAACAAACAACCCCATGTTCATGGGTGACTGCCATTTGGGCCCAATATATATGCTAGGACTGAGTCAAACCAATGAACAAGTTGATAGTTCGGCCTTTTACAAAACATGGAATTTAAGTTAATGTAAAGGAAAAATTGGTGAGAAGTCTATTTCTAGGGGTGTGTATGGCTTTAGGTCCAAGGATTGTTTTGTTTTGTTTTGGTTGTAAGGACATGATTAATGAAATTGTTTGGTGAGAAGGACAAATTATTGTTTTGAAGGATAATTTTTCCATTTTTACTCTTTGCCGTCTGATTGTTGGTCACCAGAAAGTTGCCAGTGGTGGTTGCTGATGGTGGTGATATGGACAAATAAGTAGATTAGGTGGATAGATAGGTGACACGTGGACAAATAGGTAGACGACACGTGGACAAATAGGTGGATGACACTTGGACAGATAGGTGGATAGATAGGCGACACGTAGACATATAGTGTGTTTTGGCTTTATTCTTCGCTCCAATGAGACTTGCGAAATCGAGACCAACTATTTTTGTATCTTCAAGTAAATATTAATTCGCTTCCCTCTTTTGGAATGTCGTCTCTCAAGATTGTTGGTGCAAAAATGATAAAAATGATGAAAAGATAAAGATGGAGAAAGTTAACGATTGCTTCAAGTTGCGTTACTCTATCGCTTTCCTTAAGACGATATTCTTCCTCACCTATTTTGTTGAATCTGGTGTGTATTGGGTTACCTGCGAATCCACCTCTAGGATACAATGAAGTCTAGTGTTAATGACTGTTATCTGATTGTGTTGTGCACGAATGAAATCAGATCCCAAATACCTTTAGATTTTCAAATCCACCAAGTAGAAGATGAGAGAAAACAAATATGAATTCTATAGAGACAACATGGAATATTGACATCTATTAAGAATATTTAACAGTACTCATTCTATTTGCCCCCCCTCCCCCCTCCCCTCTTTTTTAATCAAAAGAAAAATTCGAGAATAAAGACAAGTATTAAATTTGTTAGAGAATCCTTGAAACAGATAGGATAAGCGGAGAATCTTTGACACCTAGAATTTTATATTTCTTAAATGTTGTTTCTTGTAATGGTGAACCTTTTCCCCAACTAAGCTTTTAAACCTTTTTTTTATTTTTATTTTTATTTTATGACCTTCCAATATTTATAGATGTAAACATGTTTAATCATTTAATTATTGAGAGTGTATGAACATTTATATCGGTTTTAGATTTGTTTCTAACATTTTCGAACATTTTTGATTACTTTTTTCTCATTTTATGTTTCCAAAACACTTTCGAAACATTTCCATTTCTGGGCTAATCGAAACAACATGTCTTTTTTAATGCTAACATTATGTGTTTATTGATTCTGGTGAACCTCTGTTTGGTTGCTGAAAATTTAGGAATGGAGGAAAAAAAGAAACCAAGATCAAATATTTCGATGTTATTTGTTACTCATTTCGAGGAAAATAGAAAGTTATTTGTATTAAGCTCAATCTAAGAAGCATAGACACTTCTAAGAAGATAACGTATCCGTGTTGTGTCCGTGTCGGACACCGGCACCCTTTGGACACTTTCTTGACACGTGTCTGATACTCTTCAAAACGTGTCCTATTTTGTAAAGACCCGGACACTATGTGGACACTTGGAGGACACACATGCTTATCAATTAGATACATGTGAAACTAATTATAAGTTTGAACAAAATAACTTAAGATACAATAATAAAACAAAAACCATACAAATTTATAGGAATTAATGTCATATTGCATTTTTTATTATCTTTAAATGATATATTCATATATATAACATATAATAAATATATAAAATTATATATTTCATGCGTGTTGTCCATGTGTCATGTCCTGCCTTTGCATTTTTTGAAAATCAGCGTGTTGGCGTGTCTATGTTGTATTCGTGTCGTGTCGTGTGTTCGTGTCCATGCTTCTTAGAGCTCAACCAACTACGCTTTGCATCCTGCTTTCTGTCATCCTAAATAATGAAAACAATTTCTAAGATTTTTTGTGTAAGTTTTTTGGGTTAAATGCTTGAGGCAATGGTTGTTTCACATTGCTTTATGTCTCGCTGTTTTTTGGGGAAACTTTTTCCTTGTGAAGGCCCCCTTTTTTTCTGATAGACATTTTAATGTGAACTTGAAAATTTTGTTATGGTTCTTAATTATTGCTCCAAACCTTATTGCGACAAAAATTGTCTCTTGCTCCACAAACTTTATTGCTCCTTTAGTCTTCTTCGAGAAAGTAATTTCATTATTTTTTGGCCAAAACAATATGCGTTGTGTGATGGATGTTGATACACATTCAAAATTTGGTCTTCTTGGTAGATTCAGGTTTGGGTTTTCTTGTTTAACCTTGATATGTAGAACCTTACAAGAAGGCATGGTGGATTAGGCAGAATGTTCTCTTACTTAAGGATCCAGGTTTTGATGTCATGAAAATTGATATTGAATTGCTGTATTAATGAATGTTATGTTCATTAATGCAACAAGGTCATGCTGTTGTGTTTTGAAGTCTCTTAAGACTGATCCTATACCATTACTCCAAAGAAAGCACAGTGAGGTTAAAGTAGTGACACGAACTGTCTACTTCAACTGCGAACTCCTAGTTTTAGGGAACTTGTGATATTTATTATTCGTAATTCTTTCTGTAGGGAGCTAGGGGCTTAATGGTGGGCTCCTCAGGTGGACATGATCTTTTTGAATTTGACCGAGGTTCTGATGAAGAAACATTTGAGAACTTTGGTGATCATGAAGCCAGAGAGGATGAGCTGTTACACAGTTGTGATTCACATGGTTCTCTAAATGAAAGGTTAATTTTTGTGGAGCCATCGTCTAATGGCTTAAATGGGGATAATTTGGAACCATTTACTGGGATGAATTTTCTATCTTTAGATGATGCAAGGGATTTCTATTATGAATATGCCAAGCGTACAGGTTTCACCATACGGACAAATCGAATTCGACACTCACTAAAGAACATGGCTATAATAGGTCGGGACTTTGTTTGTTCAAGAGAAGGTTTTCGTGCTGCAAAACATGCGCTTAGAAAAGACAGGGTTCTTCCACCAAGGCCAATTACAAGAGAAGGGTGTAAAGCAATGATAAGGCTGGCAGCAAGAGATGGAGGTAAATGGGTAGTTACAAAATTTGTCCGAGAGCACAACCACAAGTTAATGACTAACTGTAAATTTCCTGGCGAACTACCAATCGTAAATATACTCAGTGAGGTATGTATGAAATTCAACATTGTAGTGCTTATGACTTGAATAGCATCATGGCATTGTTCATTTTTTAATAAAAAATTGAGCTAGATTTGGCAGAGTTATTGTGCACCTATTATTATCACTTATTAATTGTTTTATGGATTCTGAGCCATCCATTTCCTGTTTGAGGAACTAGCTAGATATGTACAAGCGATAAACTTATCATCTCCTTGATTCCTTAAAATGAAAAGCAATTTTGTAATGGTTGTTTGATTATACTTGTCAATATTGAGAACAATCTCATTTAGTTAAAATTCTTCATGATGTAACTAAAGGACTCACAATTAAGGTTCAAATATGCTTCTTCTACTTATGATCCCATGCTAAGCTTGCACTAGAGTTGCATTGCCACTTTTGACTGCTTCTGCTATGGTAATGGTTAAGGGTGGCAATTTTTCTTCTGGCTTGTAAGGATGGTTGGCACTGCAAACTACGAAGAGCACTAGAAATACTGAACAAAATTGTTTCATGAGGCCCTTAATGGCTGTCCAATTTGCTGGCTATTGCGTAGTTATTTCAGCTGTCTTACCCATAATATAATGAAAAAGATGGAAACAAGTACACCAAGATTTCTAATGTTATCGGCAATTATGAAATTGCATGCATTTGAACTTTAGTGCCACTCAACTTATTGGAGTACACAACCATTAAACTAGAGCTAGCTTTAGTTTCTCACAATTGTATTGATTTTGAACTCGATCATTTCTAGTGATGCCACTTGAGCATTTTAGTTTTTGTTGTCATTAGTTTCCCCAAATTTAATTTGTGAATGTTTGTTGAAAACTAGGTAATTTTATTGATTTGTTGCGTGCTCAAAGTATGGAGTGGAAGTCCTTGGCAAGGGTTTTGTAATTATAAGGGAGTGGCAAAGAACGTAAAGTGCAACCTATGAAGCACGGATACCTCTCCAGAGATGACGTATAGGTGTTGGACATGGATACGTGGCACAAACACGTTCCTGACATGTGTTGGACATGCTAGAGAGAGAGTTGGACACATTGGGACACGTTGCAGACACATTGGGACATGCTGGAGACACACTGGGGACAAGCTAAGGAGTAAAATAGAGTAAAATAGAGTGAGTTGGTGTGTATCCATAATTAACTCACTCATTAGTCACACATTTGGCTGTAAAATAGAGTGAGTTAATTACTGTGACCATAGATGTCTGTAATGTTATCAATTACCAGACATTTTACATGGCAATCTTATGTATGAATAGGAAAAATCTAATTTTTAAATAGTTAATTCAATTTCTTTTCCTAATTCACCTCTACTAGTTTATGTTGAGCCTTTAAATAGTTTCACTCAAGTTGAACACAATATACTTTTGACATAAGTGTAAAACTGGGATGCCTGACTTGATATTCGTCCCAAATTTAAGTCAAGTGATTTTGTAGTTTAACTTGGTGACTTGTTCACTTTACTTACATGCTTAACTAAGCAACTTGGTGCGTATCCTCAAATTGAATTCAATTTAAGTTTTGGAGTATATGCATTCATCAACACGGTACTCAATTCAAATATATACACATGTAGAGCATGAAGTACATAATTTATCTCATTCACGTATATATACATGAAAATTGAAACAACATGAAATAAAGGGATGAACACTATTTTTGTACTGGTTTGGTTACTTGCCCACATATGCCATCAACATCCCACACCAGATTTATGATACACTAAACATAAGGGGAGTTTTCACTAAAGTAGTGTATGAATAGCCAAGCCTTCTCCTGTAAAGGAACAACACTTAAAGTAGTGTATGAAAGTTTACCAGAGGTATATAAAGTGTGCCTGCTCTCGTAAAAAACCCTAAATGGGGTGCTGGGGGTACATATAGCCAAGCCTCCAACGACAATATTAATATTCTTAAGAAATTTCAACAGGGTGGTTGACCACTATGCTGCAATGGTCGACCAAGTTGCAGTATGGTCTTTTCCAGGTACTCTCCGGATTTCTGGATGGTTGACTACTTCACTGAGATAGTCAACCATGCTGTAAGTTTGGCAAATTTCAGTCTCTGGAACTTTGCTGTGGTCAACCAGGCTCAAGCCATGGTTGACGAAGCCAATACAACCTGGACTTTTTCAAGTCCTCTTTATGCCTTCCTGGTCCTTCCATCTCCTGTGCTTTCTTCATGCCTATGAAGATCTTCCATAGCACTCACCCCCTTGTGTTGATGAAGATCTTTAGACTTCAATTCAAGCTTTGTTCATTGCTTTATTCATACCGGTGAGGTTCTTCCATAGCTCTTTCACATGTCGATGAATATCTCTCATGTCACTTCAAGCTTCCAAACAAACATGGGTGCCTTCAATTTGCTCTTTTCATGATGTGGCTTGGCTTCTACCTAAGGTTTGTATATAGAAATCACAAAATTGCTGACCTTTGCTAGCCTAGCACTAATATAATACAACAAATGTGTATATAGGTCAGGCCACATTAGACTTCATCCTACATAACATGCACACGTGCGCGCGCGCGCGTACACACACACAGTGCATGCTTGGATAGGGGGAAATAAGAATAGATGCAGTGGTAGCACCATGAATGTACTCTTCCCCCATTTTATAATTTTCCTTTTAGGTTTTAATATACGCATACATATATGTATATGTATAAATAGGATTTGCATGTGTTTGCATGAATGTCTATGCTTTGGTTTGTGCTCATAAGTCATAACTTTCTCTCAATTATATATTTAATATATCATGTATGGATGCAGCCATATGTGCAAACCTAATTGTAGTAGCTCCTTGTTGCTTAAAACCGTCATTTATCCAATTTTTATTATCAGTATGTTATTTCTATTTGTTTTTCTTGTAGTAGTTTGCATATAACCCCATCTAACAGTATTTTCTTGTTCTTGAAAAGATAAAGAGGTAGTCATGTTTGCAAGTGATTTATCATTTACAACGTGGTATAAATTGTTCAAGAAATGTTGACTGATTGTCCATATCATGAAACGTTTTCAAATTTCAGACTTTTTGAAAAGATCGGACATGTTTGTAAGAGTAAGTACTGTCAATGCTGGATGTAGGCATTGCACGTTAGTAGAATTGTCCATGCTGGGTATAAAATATGCATGAAGTCCACTGATTTTGTATTCGTAATAGCGGGAAGAATCTTAATCATGACAGATATGTATTAGACGCTGTTCAGTTGGGGAAGATGGACTGTAGACTTTTTGATCTAGTGGGATGTGTCTCTGGTAGTTATTGCAGGGCATGATGAGCTTTGCAAACAAGCTACCGTACAGTGCATTATAAAGCTAGCTTGTTTGGGTATCCATATTCCAGCGAGATAGGTTATATTGTTGATGTAGCTTGTTTGGTATTAAGGCACTATCTGTGGTGAGATCAGAAGTACTTTTTTAGTTGTGTATAGAGTTTTCAATTCCATTATATACTATTATCTCCCCTTCAGATTCATTTTATTATTATTATTTTTTTGTTTTTTCTCTGATTTTTAATTTCTTGTTTTTGTTGTCTAGAAAGTTTCAAAAGGTATGACACTTTCACTTTATCTAATAAAAAATGAGGGGTGATAAATAAGGATATGGAATTCAAGAAAATGTATTGTTTAAGACTGACCTTTGTTTTTGTTTTTGTTGTTTTATATATTTTAATTTTGATCAGTTACAAACAAATTTTATTAAGAAGGGGACAAAAGTACAAGTAGTACGAGGACAAGAAGTCCACTGAAGGAAAAAAAAAAAAAAAAAAAACAAAGGATACCCCCCAAGGGGAGATGAAACCGATACCGAAAAAGTCAAATGACGAACCCTATCACGTAAGGCATCAACATCTTCAAATTTGTCCAAAAAAATCTTATCATTTCTGACCCCAAGGGGGTTGGCCTAGTGGATGTAGCTTGGGGTTTGGGAGTGTGTTCCCTCTAGGTTTTAGGTTCAATTCCCACTCGGTGCTATCAACTCTTTGTGGCCACGTTTGTAGGCTTTACTCAAGATTTGCTTGATCCACGTGGCATGGACGCTATTGTGGGTCCTGGGATTAGTTGAGGTGTGCGTAAGGTAGTCCGGACACCCAGCCGCAAGGTTTTGAAAAGCGGTTGCGGTCACCGTAACAGTGGCGGTGGCGAGGTTGCGGTTGCGGTTGTGGTTGCGGGGTGTAAAGGCCATAGCGTAACAGTTGCGGTAACTGGAACCGTGGATTTTTTTATTTTTCACAAAACTTACCGATACACATTTTTTTCCATAATCATATTCATTGGGTTTTAAAATAAATATTGATCAATTTTTATAAATTTTTAAGTATGATCCAATATATTTCATATTTTTAAATCACTATAAACTGAGTTTTTTATATTTTATTTTAATAATTAATGACTTCATATATCATAAATCCATATTATGCTTGTAACAAATTTTTTTTTTTATTATTGGACTTAGATGTATAAAATTATTTTTTTAATTATTATACTTGTGGAAGTATATCTAAATTTTAACTTGAATAGTTTTAAAAAATAAATTATACATGCTAATGTAATCATATAAAAATTTAAAAATAAATTATAAAGAATTATTTTATTTTATTTATTTATTTTTTTTAGGTTTGGATCACTTGAATCTTCATTCACTTTTTGGATAACCTGTAAATAAAAATAAAATAAACTAATCAAAAGAAATTGACATGTATAAAATATGTATTAATATATAATTATATGTGTTATGTTTTCTAGCTATTCTACAAAAAAATCAATCATTAACTATTATATATAAGATAATAAGATAAACAATGACAAAAGTAAGAGAATAAATAAGAGCCTAAATATATATATATATATATTAATCAAGCCAAATACATGATGACTACACTTATTATTATTATTATTATCAAACAATATATAGATAGACACACACAAACAAAATAGTTGAGTGATAGAAGTTAAATAGAATAGTATAGGTCTTACAACTTCAACAAATCAATAATATGTTCATCATCTTTCCTCTTCTCTCACTCTATCTCTTACTCCTTCATCTTCCTGTTCTCTCTCTATCCCTCTTCCCCTATTTTCATCTTCTTTTTTTTTTTTTTTTCGAAAGAAACAGTTTGAAATCGTTACGTAACGGTGGGTAACAGGCCGTTACGACACCGTTACGACCGCTATGGCGGCCACTACGGCCGACACACCTGTGAATCTCAATCACACTGCAAAAGCGGCCGTAACGGGTGGCGGTAAACGCCAAAACCGTTACGTAACGGCGTTACGTAACGGTTGCGGCCGCTTTTTAAAACCTTGGCCCTGGTACAATCTTACAAAGCTGTAGAAAGAGAGAGCCAATGCAAATTGATGATACTGCTAGAAGAAGCAACAATGACTGAAATGAAACAAAACTTAGATTGCCATAAACAAGAAAACCTCCATCGGTAGGTAGATAGGCCTAGAGTCATTGCCAGCTTGAAGCGCAGGCAGGGACGTTAATTTAGGGGTGATGTCATATTTCTCGCGAAAGTATTGCACAACTGGCGTTTGTGTACCCGTATCACCAGAAGTAAACCTATTTGAAAAGGAAGTGCACATCAACAAAAGAAAAAATGTAAACATCAACAACAAAAAATAGTGCAAAATTCATTTCACCTCCTTGTGGTTTGAGGCCGAGCACTTTGGCCCCCTATGGTTCAAATATGGCCAGAGCTCTCATGTGATTTTGGACCAAAGTGCAACTATTAACTTCGTTAACTATAGATGTGAAATGACTATAATACCCTTAAGCCTTAAGCTTTTTTTGTTATTTTATTTCTCTCTCCTCTCTCATACACATAATTTATAATTCCTAACATTAATTCAATTAAATCACAATTAATCATAAATCCTTAATTATTTATTATAATTCCTAACTTTTTAATATAATTTTAATTTATTTATGTTTAGATCACAATTACTCCTAAATCCTTAATGATTTATTGCAATTCCTAACATCTTAATCTAATTTTAATTATATTTTAAATCAATCCTTGATTATTATTTATTTTATATTTTAATTTAATTATATTTTAGATCAATCCTTTATTATATTTTTAAATTTATTTTACTTTAATTAACATCTTAATTAAATTTTAGGTTTGGAGAAGATGCAGGTAAAATTGCCTTTTTGTTGTGTTAATTTCACTTAATTTTTTTAGAAAACCAAATCCACTCTCAAAAATGGTGTGTGATTGGGAGAACTCTAGTTTGGATGGAAAAACTAATAGTGGAACTTTAGTTCAAAACTACATGAGACTTAAAATGTCATGGCCTCAAAAATCATGATGGGGTAAAATAAATTTTGCCCCAAAAAATAAGTGATAAAATCAGAAAAAAGACAAACATCAAATAAATGATAAAAATGCCACCAGTTTAAATGAGATAGCCAATCCAAAGTGAATTGATGGAATTACAATATCATTTCCCCTTCTGGTTTGTTATCCATCCAATACATAAATTAACAAGAAAACAAAAAACAACTCGTGTATACTGCCTAAAATAATAGGCACTAGAAAAAAAGCAATTCACTTAACTATCAAACAAAGTCCTAGCCCTAAGCAAACATACTGCCTAAAATAATAGGAATTAGAAAAAAAAGCATAACAAAAGATGACGCACCACCCAAAACAAAAACCAAAAGGAAAAAAAAAATCAATTTAATAAATAGTTCGATTGCTTTTAACCCCATAATTTAAAGAGAAACATTAGGTGATTGAAATCTTATGAGAATCCCAAAAACAATTCGTTATCCATTCCTTCCATCTTAAACTCTCCTCAGGTACTTAAAAAAACCACCTAAAATTAAATTTTAACAAAATTCAAAAAAATTTGGCAAATATATGTAGCTCAGAAATTTTGGCAAGATACAGGGCATAACTGGTACAATGATCTAAGCTTGCAGTTTAAAAATTGCATCATTTAATATTTTTTGTGATGCTTCTAAAACTCCTGTAAAACCGTTCCCACTGAAGAAGAAACTTAATCATTAAAGGTTGTTATGATTTAGAATTGAAGATTCCCATTCATGAGTAAGGCAAGAATACTTCCCAGTTGCCAACCACTAAGTTATGACTTTCAGATGTATCACAACACACAAACATCCACCAATTTTGTGCTTCATCTCATTTATGTTATCCTTCTACCATTTTCTAACTTTATGTGCATTTAGTGAAGCTTTTCCCCCTGCTGCTACATGGTGAAGATAAACCACACACCAAACTCACTCAGGTAAAGAAAGAAGCAAAGATAAGTAGCTCACGTTAATTGACTTGTTGGTTGCACCGATACACCTGATATTTTGTGCTGTTTAACATCCTCGCTATGAATGAGTTCTACCTTAACCATTTTTAGAGCTTTCTTAACCTGGAATCACCAAAAAAAAAGGGTCATAATGGGTCAACTGTTGGGTAATGTGGCCAAGGAATATAATATGCAACGACAAAAGCAGATATAAATACTTATTGACCAAAGTTATATAGGAGAAAATTATGGACGAGTTGGGTAGTGGAAAACAAACTCCATAAAAATTTCACTAGACCTTTATATTTTATCGTGACAACATAACATGCAAAAACCTCATTCTTGGCAAAATTTACTACTGGCATTTTCCTTCACAGAAAATATAAATGAGCAATTAATTGTATGCTGCACTAGAAAGTTAGTGTAATACCTTAATGCGATCTTGATCAGAAAGAGGCCTTCTTAAATCTCTAACATTGCAATATCTCGCAACAAAGTCAGAAACTAGAATGGGTTCATAAAATGCTCTTGCTGAGATATCTGCAAGGCAAGGAAGCAACATAATCTCAATGGTGCATGTCAATAGCAAAACTACTGCTCTAAATCTAGAACAGGAAAAAAATTGAAAAGAAATGAAGGCCAACGATTAAAGAAATTCATGCCAATATTAAGGGAAAGACCCATTTGTGTTGGGCGAAGGCTTTGATAGCAACCTTTCCAATATTCTAAACCATCCCCAAGATCACCTGTATCACCGAATTTGGGAGGGAAGAATGACCTTCCCACAACAGCATAACTGCAATCAAGAGTTTACACCGTTTAGCGGAGCCACCATACTCCTTAACCTACATAAATTGATATGTAGAGGAAAATAGATAAAAAAAAATTACTAAATATATTTCACATCTCCCCAGGTAACCCTTGCTTCCTATTTTTGCTCATATGCAGGCTGCCTGCCGCTTTTGAATGAGATGTGAAGGCATAGGTAACAAAATAGGTAAGGGTAGACCTAAGCATGAAGATGTGCAGCTTGGTAGAGCATTTGCCAAATTGTTTTTAGGTCAAATGAGACTCACTTATTTGAAGGAGTTGATCTAAGAACTATGAGAGGGTAATTTATACTTATAAATTGGAGCGAGTTGGGTAATGGGCCGTTATGGGTCACGTTGCAAAGGACTGAGTAAAAAGGCCATGAAGTTACTCCGGCCCAGGAGAGGTGTAAAGTTACTCTGGCCCAAGAGAGGTATAAAGTTATTCCGGTCCGAAAGAATCTTGAGGTTACTCTGGTCTAAAGGAAGCTTTGAACATAGCCTGGTTGCCGTACTCAAAGTTAGCCCGGTCTTGGCTTATCGAGGTTATCTCAGCCAGAACCTTACTGTTTGATAGCTCGGTCTGATCACACCATGGTTGGCGCTAGGAGAAACCTAGGTAAGAGCAATGAATGGAAGAGCCGAACTAAAGTTAGCTCGGTCTAGTCTGCGGCTTAGCATAAGCCATGCTTACCTCGGTCATAGTGGAATCCAACCATGGTAAAACCATCTCACTTGGAGATGCTTTCATAAGAGTCAAAATAATACATGTTTTTATACTAGTTATAAGTAATAGAATCGTGATGAAAATAATATGAGAGAGTTGAGAAAAAAAATGGATAGAAGCACATTTTTCTCACAATTCCTATTTTCAATCTCTCAAAAAATGAAAAGAAATGCAGAGAAATAGAACCACTAAATATTATTTTATTATAATACCAAAACTATCTTTTAGATATAGAATAAATAAAAAGATTAACACCTATAAAAAAATTAATTTGGTAATATAACATTATATATATTTTTATATAATTTAACCAAATAAGATAAAAGAGAAATTAATATCATTTCATTTATTTTCTCTCTTATCGATAAAAAGTAATCACAATTTTATCTCAACAACTCAACTATAAAAGGAAAAAAAAAAAAGTCAATTTTTTATAGGTCTAAGTCAATATGTAACATGTAACAAAACAAAAACTTTAACCAACTTATAACTACTCCCCACTAGTAATGGGAAATTTATGAAAAAGAAAAAAAAAAAAATCTCATATCTCTTTCATGTGGACGAAAGTACCCCTGTCTTGGGGTACCAAATTGCACAAGAGATTTTAACTTAAGGTAATGTAA